GGGGGGGGGGGCACTGCTTTTTGGTGCCCCCAAATCTTGGCGCCCTAGGCAACCGCCTAGTTTGCCTTAATGGTAGCACCAGCCCTGCACAGATAGTGCTGTTCAGTCTTCATCGAGACAGCCTGAGTTCCCTCTGGCTGCTGTCTAGGTTCTCTCCTCATTCCTAACCTATTTGTATTAGAGAGAGGTAGATGTATTTCACATTTTTCACAATTTCTTTATGTGGACAGATTAATCATTTTTCAGATTTTTCTATTGACTGAATGCTGTCCCCAGAGTATTGATTACAATTATATATCAAGTTGGTAAAATATTAACATCTTACTTTCCAAAAGATACTGAAAAATTAGTCAGGAGAAGGGCAACAAAGTTAAACTTGGTAGTGTTAAGGTATGAAGAAAGGCTAAAATGAAGAAATTGCAAGTGCTAAACTTGCTTGTCACTTCCCATGATGAGACCCTTGTTTTCAGTTGCTTATAATTTTGTGAAACTTTCATCATTCAGGCTGGAATTTTCCATTTCAGATATCTGCCTCAGGCTGAATATTTTTGGGAAGTTACAGGAAAAAAATAGTTCAGACATTTCTGAGAATAAGGTTGGAGGAAATACTTTGTAAGAATTTTCTTAACATGGGCAAAACGTCTGTGAGAAGTTCTAGTGCCTTCAAGCTTTGAAACAAGGATTTGGCATGGATTTGGAGTTGCTCAAGTATCAGGGACGTGCCTTTTACTATTTCCCTGAAGAAAAAAAAAAAAAAATCATCCAAATCTGGCCAGGTCTCTTCCAGCCCTGCCTTGCCTTTCTATGATTCTGTGGACTACAGCTCACCTACAAAACTTGCTTGAACTTCAAGCAGAGCATCTAGCCCTTTTAGCTGAGGCAGCTGGAGCACATTACCCATAGGTCCAGCTTTCCAGAAGCAGGTGGTGCCAGGGGGCTTCAACCCAGTAGTGTGACTATATAGAAGCAAGGAAACACTTTGAGCTACAGTTACTGATAGGTAAATGCTCTTATGCTGGAACATTGTATTCCTTTCTCACTTGAGTACACATCCCTGTCTCTCTAGGGTGCTGAGGTTCAGTCTTTTACGATGTTGTCATTTCATTAGCTCTCGCTCCTTCAGGAGGAAGAAATCCAAATCTGTTACTTCTAATATAGTCAAAGAAAAAAAAAAAGTTGTAAGGATGTTTTAATGCATCACAAAGGTGCAGCCCCCACCCCTTTTTGCGATTTAACTTTTAATACAATTTCCCTTTAAAACAGTGATAACTTCGCTCTCATAGCAACATGGTCAGAAGTTAGTGAGGAGCTGCCGTTTCAGGCTCCATTGGTTCATTGCTGTAATGTTCCATTTAATTAAAATGGGAACGTGCTTGGCTTCATAAGTAAAGTTAGTGCTGCTGAAAGGTGCTGAACTGACAGCCCTAGGGAATAAAGTCTTTGGTTTATTTCCACTGCAGGGGCAGTGGTAATGCAAGTTTCCCCAGGCTGCCCAATCCATGGACCTCAGCTGTGAGCTGGAGGGGAGGCATTATTTCCAAGGGTGAGTGATTAATGCTCCACACCCATTCTATTCTGAGCACCTCTGAAGTTGCCAACAAGGAGCGGACATTAGCTGTAACTGTAGTGGTGTTAGTGATGAGGACATATGTCCCCTGGGACTGCAAAATTCCTTATACATGGGTCACTGAACAGCCATCACGTATATATGGTAATTGCTTATATAGTCACTGTACTTCCATCAGTTTTGAAGATAGAGCTAAATAAAAAGCTTGGTTGATAGATATACTTACTACATACTGTCCATAGCAAGTGACACCACTTTATTAAAATTCCCCCCACACCCTTTGAAACACTGAAAGTGTACACTGAGTAAGTGAATGAAGAATGAAAACAATGTGAAACCTAAACTTCTCCTTGATGAGGAATATTCGCTACATATCTTGCATTTTCCTTTGAACAGCTGGCATCCTTAAATTGTTCACAGATATTTCTTCCACCCTTCAAGAAACACTCATCTGAGATGACACTTGACTGTCACCTCCCAGAACTTGATGCTAAATATACATTTCTAACCAGACTTGGGTAGTTCTAGACCTATAAATAGGAAGCTATTTGCAAAGATATCAAACAACTGCATTTATGTCAAAACATTTACTCATATTGTTTGAATTGCGAACTTTAAAAATACCAAGCCCATACTATAGGGGAAAAGGTGGTGACTTAAAAAAGACATTTATTATTCAGCTGTGATTGAATAATATTGTTTAACTCAAAACCTTTCTTCTTTTCCCTCCCTTAAATGAATCAAGGAGCAATGAATGGGGAAAAAAAATCTTGTAGGACAAAAAAGAATGGAAGGTGTTACTGTTCATTAAATATTTAGTTCTGTTACATGACTTGTAGGAAAGGTATGTCTGTCATGTCCCTGAGTTGTCTTTATTTTTTAGTACTGGAGAAAGGTAATGGATTGCCTGCCCTTCAGCTTGAAATCTTCCCTCTACAGAATGGATCAAAAAATTTGGCAGACTTGATAAGTCTTCCCACATCATTTCTCTTAATACCTCAACATTAGCCTCATAGGGCCACCTCAGTGCTGCATTTACATCACTAACAGATTTTGTAGCCCTAATTCACCACCAGTGGATGCTGTAGAGTCAACATGGCTCAGATGTTGTTTATCATTGTGCGATCTACCGTCAGAAGCAGCTATCGGGCTGACCTGGTTATAACAATCCCAGCATTTTTCATGTGGCCGTCTCAATTTGCAGAATTTAAGATTTTGTTTTGAACAATTATATTTCTAGCCTTTGTGATGGTAGTATTTTGAGTATGAATGAATGCAGTGCTATCTCCGTGACAGCCTTCAACAGTCTTTTAGGCTGTGTCTACACTACACAGCTTTTAGTGACATGGCTGTGTCGCCACAGCCGTGCCGCTAAAAGCCGCACGGTGTAGCCACTGTTTGTTGGCTCTCCTGCCGACAAAAAACTTCCACCACCAACAAGCAGCGTTTGCGTTGTCGGGGGGAGAGTGCTCCTGCCGACAAAGTGCTGTTCACACTGGTGCTTGTTATTGGCAAAACTTTTGTCTTCTGGGGGCGATGGGGGGTTAACACCTCTGAAAGACAAACGTTTTGTTGTTCAATTGCCAGTGTAGACATAGCCTTAGAAGGGTTAACTGTTTCCATCCATCTCACTGGGGCCATTAAAGTCTAATGACAATTGAAGTGTCACTGTGAATTAGAGAGGGAAGGTGAGGGAGGTAATAGCTTTTTATTTTATACTTTACCTCACCTACTTTGTCTCTCGAATGGCTTGTTTTAACGTACTGCTCTACAGCGGCACAGCTTCTCCTGTTGGTGTAGTAAATCCACCTCCCTGAGAGGCAGTAGCTATGTCGGCAGGAGAAGCTCTCCTGTCGACACAGTGCTGTCTACACCAGAAGTTAGGTCAGTGTAACTACATTGCTCAGGGGTGTGGATTTTTCACACCCCTGAGCGTCATAGTTAAAGCAATATAGGGCTGTACTGTAGACCTGGCCTAATAGCCTGGAACCAGCACGGCTATAACTCACTGCATACAATTTTATTAATTGTCATTGTTTTGGGAGAAACATATTTAGGGCTTGTCTACAGGAGAAAGTTTTACTAGTTATACCGGTATAACCACTGACACCCTTCCTACCCCTTGCCCCCATCCTGCCCCTCCTGGCTGCATCCTCTTTTTCTGATATAAAAGTAGTTTTTTAAGTTTAACTTAAGTCAGGTCTACACTATAAACGTTTGCCAGTATAATAATGTTGGTTAGGGGTGTGAATTTTTGACATTTTTATACCAGCATAGTCATAGTGAGACACAGTTATACAGGCAAAAGTGCCTTTTCTAGCTTATTTTGTTTGGGGCACTAACATAAGAAAGCACATTTTTGCCGGGAGAAGCCGCATCTACACAACCCTGGCAAACCTTTTCTAATGTAGACTAAACCTTAAACCCCTTCTCAAGTGACAAGCTGGAAGAACGTGTTCCAGTGTTACCTTCCTAAAGGTATGTCTGCACTGCACTGCACTGCAAGCCATGGATTAGTGGCATAGGCGCCAACTTTCTCCAGCACCGGTGGATGCCCGTGCCCCCCACTCCTGGTCCCGCCCCCATTCCAACCCCATCCCCAAAGTCCCCGCCCTAACTCCGCCCCCTTCCTGCCCCCATTGGATCCCTTCCCCAAATCCCTGCCCCGCCTCTTCCCCCAGCGCACCGCGTTCCGCTTCCTCCCCACTCCCTCCCTGCCCTGCAAATCAGCTGTTTCGCAGTGCAAGCGCTGGGAGGGAGGGGGGAGAAGCAGGATGTGGCGGCGCACTCACAGAGGAGCCGGAGGGGAGGTAAGCTGGAGCGGGGGCGGCGGGGAGCTGCTGGTGGGTGCTGAGTACCCACCAATTTTTTTCTGTGGGTGCTCCAGCTCCGGAGCACCCATGGAGTCGGCGCCTATGGTTAGTGGGACATAAGTCAGCCAGCTGACCTGTGTTAGGGATCCCAGGACTTGGGTGTCTATACTGTATTTAAACCCTGTGACGTTAAGACTTTTCTAACCTGTGCTCAAACTTAAGGCTCTGGCATCCACCC